ATATATAAATATTTATTACCTACGGTCCAAGAGCTGCATGCTATCACCATACGGGGATACTTCTAGGAGAACCTCTTGATACAATTCATGTCATATTTACTAAACTTGATATGGTAAATTCCCCACACATGCTCTCCAGGCTTTCCACGTCATCAAACTATATCCAAACTATATTTAGTTCATTTCGTACAGTAGCATCCCTTGTTATTGTACTTGATATATGAGCTACGGCCCAATAATAATAGTAATACTATTAGTAGCTGCATACTTCTCGAACACTATCACCACATGGGGATAATTCTAGGAACAGAAGATACGATTCATAACAAATGAGAGAGATATAATTAGGTAAATCAACGTGTCCAATGTAGAGACGAAATGGATGGCTGGCAACGAATTCATTCGCAAAAGTAAATATCGAACTGCTTCTACTTGAGACCGAATACCGAAATCGTACTACAAAAGAGTCGAGTTACATCAGTACCTCGGAAATAGAGTTCATTTTAATTGGACGTTTACGGTAGTATCCATGAGTATTTGAGCCTCAACACAAGCAGAACGCTGTAGGTACGTCTATGAATAGTTCGAACATCCTTCAAGTAAAACATCGTTGTAGCTACGACTATCGTTCGAATGTATTACATGTTATGTGTGATATATTATTCCGAAGGTAGTTTGGTATGGGAAAGACCAACAAAGTCGACTTGTTTCCAAGTAAGTTACAACCGATGGGTTCATATATCTTCCTCGACACGAATTTGATTGGGTTCTCCAATTTATAGGATATAAAATCAATTAATATCCTTTTCGAAGATTTGGGACGGGGTTCATTCTGGGTACATAACTCAGATATACTAACTACAATCATTCCCGTTCGTTAAGCACTGAAGTATGTATTATCCATTCATTCTAGTACAACCAATAACGACTTTCTTGTTGATTTAAGGAGACTATTCAAAATTTCAAATATACTAGTGTATTTTGTTAATAACATGGAAATGATTCCACTCCAGCTGATTTGATAGGATCTTTAACATAAAATTACACAGCTTTGGATGGTCAACATATAGTGTGGTTGTGAGAATTTTGCAACTCTTGCTTTATCCTACCTGGTATTTATTTGTATGTACCCAATTGGGAACACATCATGACAAGCTCGATCTACGAGTGTAGTGGCTCACACTAGAGTTGCAACTATTGTTACTCGCCATTCATTTTAAGTACATTCTACAATAGTTGCTCCATCAACTGTAAAACTCTACCAAACCTAGGAACTAGTATCTCTTTACATTGAGAGTTGATCTAAGAGTCCATGTAGTTATGTGAATTGTGTAGTAACATGAACTATATTTATGAGCATAAAAATATTACGACGTATTCGTATCCACATAAATAAGTTGCGTATGAAATGGCAATCTCCAAAGTTCGTACAAGCGACACTCCATGTTTCTGCCGAAATGGAGTCTATCCGACAAATTATACCAAGCAATCTACTCTTAGAAACGTATGGTTGAGAGATACCATTTGATGCTTAACTATATATTCTTCCCAACTGTACTTTATCCACACAAGGACTATGGTAGTACCACACATATCAATCGTTTGTGATTACTAAACATTTCGCTGGTTAATCGGATATTTGCACATCCAACTCTTACGATGAGTAGCCGACCAACTAACTCCACCAGCATTTTCTAGTAAATAAACTCGAGTATCGGAAAGCAGGCGATGAAATACTGGACCAACTTGCTAGAGTGCCAGAAACAACTTGATATCCTCCTAATCTCTTTTATCTGGTTTCTAAAACCCCAGGAACAAGTCATACTTCACAAATAACACATGGCCTTTCGTATCCGAAAGGGTGTCTTAATATTTATCCGGATGATTATCTACCGCGAAAGAACGAAAATGTCATCGACGGTAGCCGCCGTTCGCTTTTCCAAGGAAGAGTGCAGATGCAGCCACCCGTTGTTCAGCTACAAGTACCTTCGGTAGGCAAAATGCCATGTGACAGCGTACGTCGGACACTCACATGGGCTGCTGGCTTCTTAGGACCCATCGCGCAGGCAGCATCAAGGTAGAGTTCTCTCGAACAATCCACATAACCTCCTCTCACCATGCTCATGTATTATCGTAGCTCCTTCGGTACTTCGTCGTCGAAGAGGTATACTAGTTATTACGTCGGATGGTTCCGTAGGTGTTTTCCGCACTGCTGCCCCGACCATTCGTCCACGTCGTTTTGCGCGACGTCCATCGATCTCGTGTGTAGCCATCATGGCGCGAGTGGCATCGAAGGGGGTGTGGCCTTCCTCCGCATGCAATCCAGAGGCGACCCCGTGCTCCCAGTCGGCGCCATCGTGGCCGCCAGCGACGTGCTGAGCGACGTCCGGTCCCACGACAACCTCCGGGGCGACTGGGTGCCGAGTGTGTATTGTTACTATAACGAGGTAATGCTTGTAATGAATACTACCATCTAGTATAGTTAAGCCATATATGCTGGTCAGGCCACACACGAAATGGTGTACCAGTTCAACCAGGCCACTGGCTTTGGCTGGCATTATGGGTGGGTTGGCACAGCCAAGACGTCGCATCGGTCCACGCAGCACGTGCTGATCGTAAGGCTGGCTCGCTTTGAATATATAGGAGGAGGCCGTTAAGGGCTGTTTTGTTAGGGCTACCTCTTCCGCCACGTTGCCACGTCATCGCAGGAACCCAAGTTTTGTGTCGTGGCCAGTACCTCATCGCCTCCGTTTCTCGTCATGTCGTACCGCCGGGCGTGTGCGTTTTGCCAGAAACTTCGAACCGTGTCACAGATTCACTGTACGTGCGAAGGCGACTTGAACCTCCGACGCGCGAAACCCCTCCATTTCAGTACGTAGCCGCTAGTACTACTAGTACTACTATGCACCCATCCTAGCCCCCCTCGCCGCCCATCTCCGGTTGCCCGTTGTTTCGCCGTCGCTAGTAGTACTAGCACCATCTCCAGAGACCATGGAAGCCCGCCTGCATGCAGTGTATACACTTCTGTCTCGCCCGTCCGTCCGTGCTTTTGCCCCATATGCAGAGCTCGTCCACCGCCTCCTTCATACCCAGCTCAAGTCTATTTTAAGTCTAGAAAAGGACTTGGTCTTATTCCATTGGTTCCCACTCCAGCCAGAGCCAGCCCCATCAGAACCCCCCCTGGCATCTATGGCCCCGTTGCTGGAAGGGGTGCGCTGCCCTCGCTGCTTTGAGATGTTTTGAATATATATATATATATATATATAGGAAACTCGTTACATTGGACGTTTTGAATAAATAACTCTTGGGCGAGGTCGTAGGTGGTGCTGGGACTGTTTACTGCCAGCCAATCAAAATGGAGAGAGGAAGCAGCGGCCAACTTGCTGGACCGGCAGGCGTTGTACCAGGGGTACACTGCGTGGCTCCGTCATATGTACGACGCCATCGGAGGACATTTGGGTCGAGTGACTTGGGCCGAACTGGTGAACCAATCACAACAGACCATTCCAAGTCACTCGTCTGGCTGCTTTGAGTACTTTGTCGCACAGATGCGCGAAGTGTTCATGGTAAACCTGTTTTCACATTGTGTATCGATAATCGATAGTCGTGATTTCGTAGGCAGTCGAGCCTTACCAACTCAAAGAACGCCGTCCAGATTGCTCTTTGAACCTTGTCTCAGATCGGTCGTTTCAGGGCAGTTGGATCTACGACCCTCCCCCTTCCACGGGTTATTTGCCCCTGAGTCACTCGATGGTTTGTCCTGGTTTCGACTTGTCCTTGGCCAGTTTATTGCGCAGTCTCACCATGAGCTACAGTGTCACACTCACCCTCGGCCCATCCAGCTTCTATGTATGTAGTACACGCCCTTCTGCGATGATGTGGTTTACAGTCTCTATATATATATATTGGACGAATAATCCTGTATATACTGTATTACCAGATCTCGTCGCATCTGTCGTTATGGCCAGCCAAACCCGCCGAGTTTATCGTCGACGGGATGGCTCACATATGTCGAGTATTTCCAAACGGAGAAAGCTCCATGTCCGACCTCCACGGGTTCGTTCTGGGTGATTACACGGCCAGTTGCACCCCCCACTCGATCCGCCTCTGTCTCTTCAGCTGGCCAACCCTCAGCTCCAGCCCCCCCACAGCTAGCTACCGCCTGACTCTCCATGCGATTTCCCCCGTCTCCAGTCAAGATGCGTTGCAAGTGACTGTGCTTTTGACAGCGTCACACGTTCCCAATCGCCTCCTCCGGTCCCATATCGACCTCATGGACATGACTGCATCGGAAAGGATCGGCTTGTTCGCGTCCACTTGGATCGACCAATCAAATCCACTGGCGGCCTTTGATATGCGCTATCGACGACGTCGACAAGAAGAAGATGACGAGCAGCAGACCCGTAGCTAATCATAAGACTAGGTTGAGTGCAATTAACTACCTACCCTCCGTACATTTGTCGTTGATCTGTACCGTGAAATAAATATACTAGGATCAGAAAAAGAGTGAGTGTTTACTATTTCGTGTTTCACACAAAAATGAGCCAAATACAGTGTGTAAAATACTGCCAATCACAGTGCGAATACGACAGACTATATTTTCAGATTTGTTTTAACGTTATTACGACATGCCAAGTGTCAGTGATCACATGGTCCAATGAAAACTACGTCGCACAAATCAACTACAAAGCGAGTCGTATGGCTTCCTCTCGACGCGTAGATAGTGTGTGAACATACTTCATAACAGTGAAAACGTTTATGGAAACGAAGATGCAGACAGTCAAACCACCAGTACCTCGACGACGAACTTAAACTATGAACGTACACGTATGTCGAAAAGCCACGCAGAATGCTTTAGTTTACAGTTAAAAGGAGGTAGCGTCGGTGGCTCAGTCGTGAGCACGAAGGTTAAGAATGTAACCGGGACCTGGTCGTGTAATGTCGTGTTGGTAACGGTATATCCACAGTCGCGATCAATACTAAGCTTACTATTATTACAGTACTACGACGTCTCTGTACAGGAGAGTGCGGGAAATGACCAAAACAGCGAACCTCAAATGAATTGGCAGCATACCAAGGAGCGCGATCTCACTAGGTCTTATCGTACCTGATAGATACACTAGGGGCTGAGGACTTTCGTTTGGCCTTTCGACAAGGCGCAACGACCTGGAACGCATGGTGTAGCGACTTCAGCTCAAAACTGTTCGATATTTTAATGGACTTGACATTCAATTGTGAGAAATTTTAAAAACCAATTACTATTAATACGTAGTAACATAATAATAAAACATTGCTTCAAATATGACTTGAAGTTAATCATAATTTATGATCAACTTTGTTAGCTAACTTAGAAAGTACATGACTTTGATCATCAAATATCTCTCTGACGGCTTGCCTACGAGCGGTGTAATGAATGTAGATATTGCAAATTTCGTTGCACACTATCGTTTAAAGCTAGAAATATGACGATTGTAACTTTGTAGCGTGAGTGATGAGTCCTCAAAGTAGCAAAAAACGCAAATATAACCTACTTTGTAAGTAAATATCTCGATGAATATTTCTCGTAGCGACCTCTATGATACGTCATTATGTAGAAATAAAGCTTGTGAACATGCGAATGGAGTCTTGGGCTGGTCGGTTTTCATTGGCTCATGTTGTGTGGCTTTGAAAGTGGCTGTCTCAAATATAACATCCAAGTTGATCAACTTTGTTAGTTATCTTTGCTTCCAAATATAACATCACATAACATCGTTTTGATGTGATGTTTTAAAAAAAATTATTCACGCCATTATAAAAATAATGAAACGATTTCTTGTTTC